CTTTAGTTTTTCACCTAAAAATTCGCCCTTGGTTCTTCTTAAGAAAATGAATTTCTGAAGACACTAATCTTGTTTTGATGATGCTGGTAAAATAAAGTTCCACTAAGACGAATACGAACAAAATTATGAATCTGTTCCTGCTTTGGAGTGCCATCCTGAATTTTTTGAGAATTTAACTAACATCCATTCATGTCCTGTAAATTTCTGAATCTACTTTCCTTTTTTTTGGACTCATGCCAGGGTTACGGACATATCTTCAAACACAGCGCTCTCTGCAGGGCAAATTCATCCGAAATGTCCCACATTTTACAAAAATTTTACCACTTCATTTAAATCAATCTAGTTTCATAGAGCTCATGAAGTTAAATAAGAAACTGTCTTTTCTGACTTGATAGCTGATGCAGAACCCGAGAAAAATGACTTTTACTCTCTCAGTACAATTATCGGATTCGGCGCCACTTTCAATGCAAGATCATGAGAACTGCGATAAGTTTTACATGTTCTCCCTTTTACCAGCTAGCCGTTAGGGTTTTTATTAAAGAGTGAGACATGAACTATATTCTCTAGATCTCTGAAGGATGTTCCATTTAGGTTCACGAAATATTGAACTTTTTCACCTCTCATGACCACCGTACAAAACTGTTACGGAAAAAAAAAGAACAATGGGCAGTAGTTTCTAATGATGGTGGAACCATAGTAACGGTGGCCTCAGCTACCATATACAAGTTTGAAAAGTAGCGTTTTGTTGTGAAAATCGAACATGTAAAACTTATCGCAGTACTTATGAACTTGCACTGAAAGTGGCGCCGAATCCGATAATTTTGCTGAGAGAGTAAAAGTCATTTTTCTCCGGCTCTCCATTAGGCATGAAGTCAGAAAAGATAGTTTCATACGTAACTTGATGAGCTCCATAAAACTAGTTTATTTTTTAAACGAAGCGAAGCAAGTTGCCGTAATGATTACGGCAACTTGCTCCGCTTCGTTTAAAAATCGCGGATCACCCGGCTGGAATCGTTGCGGATAAAAAGTGGGTAGTTTTCATATGGGTGCGACATTACAGATGGATTTGTTCTGCAGTGAAGAACAGTTTATAGTTTTGTAAGGGTAGCAAGAATCTAAAGATGGAAAACAGATTGAGAAATACAAAATTTACACCTAAATTCCTCTAAAAATTTTATCCAGCCAGTTCGATTTTTCTAATGCAGCAAAAATAAATAAATTAAGAAAATTTTTTCAGCAGTTCGTCAGTTCGACATCTTGCATTTAATCAATATCCGCTGCAGAAATAGACTGCTTTCTTTTATATCAAAACATTTAAGCTTTATTCTATAATTTTGTACATAATAATATGAAAACAACGGTCGGTATATCATAACAGGCTGATAAAAAGTAGATGAAAAGTACATATTTGATTAAATTTAAGAGCTTTTTTAGATCATAAGCTTTGTACCTCTGTTAAAATACCTTGAGTGTATAGAAGAAATTCGATGTCCAATGTAAACGTGTAAATGGCTGCATTAAGACTGGAGATGTTAGTAAGACTATAGTGTGAAAATAGAATAATTTTAGTATCCATGGTATTTGTCGTACTACTGAGGAATAATATTTTTCAAAATATAATTCTGCTAATACAATGAAACCATGTAAAACAAAAAATAAAGTTTGTGTTATATCAACTGTTAATGTAGTCGAACAAAATGCGAATTCATGAATTAAACCTGATACAATAAACACCGATAAAAGAGCGAGTGCTCGATTATTTGTTAATTGACGTATGAGGACAAACATTAAGGATATCTGCATCAACAAGAATTAGTCAGACAAGTCTACTTTATAGTGAATTATGAAAAATTTATCAGTTTTGCAAACTAACTATTTTTTGAAAACATTAGAATTCTTTTAATAATAAGTATCCATATTAAAGGATCCACGATTTGAACACCAAATATGAAGAAAGTAAACAATATTAATGGATTTTCTCTGGATCCACTTTATGAATAATCCACATGGGATCGTATGAGAACTCTTTGAGAGTTTGTTGTATCAGTAAATGCCAATTGTATCCCCAAAATTGATGTAGCGATGTAGCGAACAGTGGTGATAGAAAATACGGAAATACAGGGCGTACTGTATCTCCAGTAATCAGTGTATATACTAAACCTAAAATTTCAGCGCATACATCAAAAAATAGATATACAAATAACGGCAGTGTATATGAATAACATATTAATGTGTAATAACTGCTTATTTCATTATGGTCATACCAATGCAATTGTGGCAGTACATAATATTCTAAAAGAATTATTTTAAACACTAGCGTTATAAACCGAAAATAGGATGATTGATAGAACGGTGCATGAATCGTATCGTGTTTCCAATCTAAACGCACTGTATTATACTCATTTGCAAACTTTATAAATGATAATTGTTTTAGTTTAGTCTGTTTTTTTGCTTCAATTAGGAATAACCATGTTATATCACGTATAATAAAAAATAAATAATTACAAGCACAAAAATATCGTAATGGTGAGTTTAACTCAAATATGTAAAATGGTAAATATAAACGGTAGAGTATCATTGGAGTAGTTAAGCATATTTTCCCATACATATTCAATTTTAAGGCGTTGTATAATAAGAATAATGGTATAGTCACACCAATAATGTAAAATATCAGAGAGCTTGTATAGTCCATCAGCGGTCACAGTTCATCATATAACATAAATCTGAAAGGTAGAAAATGAGAATATTAAAAATGAAGTCACAATCAATTTTGAAAAAAAAACGTAAGTTGCTTTAACAATTGAAAGAAACTAAAATAACGACAGAAGATATATCACAACTGTTATCTACTCATTTCATATTGCAACTCTTTACCCATAATGCGCTCAAAAGAAAAGAAAAAAGATTAAAAGCTCTACAACAATGATAATATATTTCATGAAAGGTAGGTCAGTACTGCAACATGATAACACGTCAAAACTTAAATGTTCATCTACTTTTAGATAATTTAAAAAAGAAAAACGAAAACGAAATCACATAAATGAAAATGACTTTTATCACACACTGTTCATCGTTCTTAGGACAATATAGGATGCAGCCTGACTAGAACATAAAAGAAAATTTTTATTTTGAATCTATAGGTGGTACTGCCGAGCTATGGTATTGAAAACAACGAAAATAAAAAAATTTAAACGAGTTCAAATCATTTTTTTTTCCAAAATATTCTATCATAGGCGAGTTGAGACTGACAGTGGTCTACTTCGAGAAGATCTGTATTACCTGTTTTTTCAACCAGTACAGAATAACTACTATACACAACACGACTGTATGACATCTTCACATGTACAGAATTAGATTACAGGGTAGGGTGTCCCAAAACTCACCACTCAATAAAATTTTTAAAAGCTCTACCATTTCTCAACCAAACTTCAAGGTTGTTTTTTTGTTTGATAGCGAAACGTCCCAAGTTTTATTTCATACGATCGAAAATTTTTGTGTAAAAAAGGATCAGTACGGAAAAATAGTAAGACTTACAACATATCGACGTGGCTAGCTAACGGTCACCTTCGAACCCGAGGGTTCGACTTCAAAAGCAGAAAAAACTAAGTCGGCCATTCGAAAGATCGTGGTTGATAGTATAGGAAACAGATGTCGTATCCATTCCAAATTTCAACTGGACATTGCCAGAGTTATTCTGTTTTCCTCATGCGTCACTGGAGAAAAAGAACCGAATGACTCAGTGAATGAAAGAAATGAAAAGAAAAATGGCTTTTGCTTGAAAAGCCACAAAAAAGGTAGAATTCTGTAACGGAGTGTATTTTGACATTTTTTGGTGATCTTGTGAACGAATTTAAAAGCCAGTTAGAGATTCTGAAAGCTGTTCAAAATCTGCTCAACTCTTATCTGAAACATTTCTCAATATAGTGCTTTATTTCGTAGCGAAAGGGCAGAGTTTCGACATATCTAAAAAAGATTCCATTTTTAGGAATTCCATAACGACTATTAGTTTTTTATAACTCTTGAGCAAATGATCCAAATCCGCTGAAATATTTACAGGAAGTAGAACTCCATGTCTTCTATTTATGGTAAAAATTTCAGAGCTTTATACCTTATCGGTTGGAAGATATGGCTCACAGAAGACAAAAAATAGAATTACAGGGTGGGCCAGATAATTTTGCAGGACTTTCCATTTGAATTCACTCATAAATGGGGTTTCAGCAAAAAGATCTTTTATGTTTATTGTGCACAAGCACATGTCTACTATTACTGTAATAAATATTACTTCTTGACCATTACTTGTTTTTGAGCAATTCAAGATGAAAGAAAATCGATTAATTGTACAAAAGTATTTCAATCTTGGAAAATCGGCTAGTGAAATTATCAAATTAGTGAAACCAATCGGTATTAAAGAATGATTCGTTTATTATACGATCAAAAGGATAAAAGAGACTGGCTCTATCGAAAACTGTCTTCGAAAAAAGCGAGAGAGAACAGTACTTACCAAACAAGTTATCAAAAACGTTCGTGAGCGAATTCGACGAAATCCCCAACGATGATGCAGGCAACTGGCTCGGGAACTGCACGCATCGCCAACAGCGATGTGACGAATATTGAAAATTGATCTTGGATTAAAAGCTTACAAAAAACGAAAGTTACATGGATTATCTTTGAAGCAAATGGACGCAAGGCGCAGAAGATCGAAATCATGGTTGAAATGGCACGATGACGAATCCGTGAAAAAGATCATCTTTTCGGATTAAAAGCTATTTGTGGTGGAAGCAAAATTAAACACTCAAAATGATAGAATTTATTCTTTGGCCAATGGAGATATACCAGAAAATTTGAGAACCGTTCAACGCTTCCAGAAATCGAGTTCGGTGAGGATATGGGGAGCTATCAGTCACAATGGCAAAATTTCATTGAAATTCGTCGATAAGGGGATTAAAATTACTGCTCGTTATTACCAAGATGAAATTTTGCGCTCCACGTTGAAGCCCGACATGGATTCGTTGTATCCCAACGGTCAGTGGACATTTCAACAGGATTCAGCCACTGCCCACAAGACGAAAACGACGCAAGCATGGTTACGATTGAATTGTCCAGATTTTATCTCTTCTGAAGAATGGCCGCCGTCGTCGCCGGATTTGAATCCGTTGGACTTCTGCATAAGGGGAACTTTGGAATCGGTTGTTAATGCGAAGCCACATCGCAGCATTGAGTCTTTAAAGCGAAAATTCATTCAAGAACGGGATCGTTTAGATATGGATTTGGTGCGTGCTGCTCTACAATGTCGCATATTCAAAACGTTTGAAGTTTTGCCATAAGAAGTTACTTTCTCCATATTACTCGGACTACCATGCATATCCATTTCTGACGATCATTAAGTACTAAAATGTGAAAAGATTTTAAAAATTTTCGAAATCAGTGTGAGTAGAGTACCAATGGGAATAAAATCACATAGCTTTCGTCGCAGACTTCAAATGACGGAACAGATTGGTGAGGAGAAAAGGATTTATGAGATAATGTCTACGAGATCCGTTTGCATCAATACTGGGATGTAATTTCTGTTGCAAAAAAATTATATGAGAAGAAAAAGCTTATTTAGTCAGATTAATAACTGCGTTACAAGAAGATCGTGAATCATCAACTTATCAAGACATGCAAAAATATGCCTCAGAGTTTGTTGATTTGACGAATTTATCATCTCGTTTTTCAAATGGCTGGAAGTGGTTCGAAGTAGTTGCAGCGGTGACCCCGACTGTGTTGACAGAGGAACTTTGTTTGCTTCTAATTATTGCTACGATAGACTGGGAATATCATCACTAGGAAGGGAGTATTAATTTTTATATTTTAATGGCTAGCATAAATTCTCAGGGTGATGGAGCATCGGAAACGGCATATCTCATTAATATTAAAGATTTACGAGCGAAAGCTGATAATACTAGCGAAGTTACCAAGTTTGATCTATTGCAATTGTTAATAAACCATTTGTTTCATTAACAGAAACATGGTTAAGTGATTCTGTTTTCACCTGTGATATTGACAGTTCTGATTATGTCTGCTATAGATGCGACCGTCAATGGTTCGCTGGTGAATGTCTTATTTATGTTCGAAATGATATTTCGATTAGGCATGCAACGGTCATAATCGTAACCGTAATAACCGGTGGAACGATTAACCGTAACCGTAAATAGCCGTTCTATAGCAGCTTATGTATATTTGGTTTAAGCTCTTTGATGTTTGTTTATATTATAAGCAGACAAGGATGGTCTTTGCCTTGACGTTTTAATGCATCTGCTATAGTGACAGTCTACACTACGCTGCAAAAAAACGGCTGTTAAGTGGCGGCGTTGGCGAATATCTCATCAACCGCTGTTTGTCAGAGTAATTTGACTTTTTTAAACAAAATCTTTGACCTTTTCAACATGAATCTCAGCATTTAATTCAATGAATTTGAGTACCACATAGGTTTGAAGAGCATCCATGTCACTATAGCAGAAGCACTAAAACGTCGGGGCAAAGACCATCCTTGTCTACTTCTAATGTAAACAAACATCAAGAGCTAAAAACCAAATATACACTAAGCTGTTATAAAGCGGTTATTTATGGTTAAAGTTAACCGTTCTACTAGCTATTTACGATTACGGTGATAACTGGTTACGGCATACCTCCACCACCTTCAACGTGCAAAGGTATCGAGTCTGCTGACCTATTAGATACGCTTAATCTGCATCAGCTAGTCAGTAAGGTTACTAGACCGAAATCCGGAACGTGTCTGGAGCAAATAATAACTAGTAATTTAAATAGCATTCGCATGGTTTCTCTGCTCCCACCCTTGTGTAGAAAGTATGACCATTCTGTTGTGCAATATACTTTTAACAATAGCATGTATCAGTCTGGTCACGTTTATCGTAGAACTCCAAGACAGTTGATTGGAGATATTACTGTTAACCAGATTGCACAACAATTACGGAATACATCTTATGTATACATGTTTAGTATCGCGGTTGACGCACACTACCACGCTTTAAGTCACTGTATCTTGAAAGCAGCTGAATTTGCTATTCTTTCTAAAGTTATTACACTTAGACCTTCCCAAGTTCAGGTTTCGTTCAGAACTGATGAACTGTTCAAAACGCTATATTTAGCGAACTGAACTGGTCGAACAGTTCTTTTGAGCGAGCTGAACTTTTTAAACAGTTCTTTTTGAACGAGCTGAACTGGTCGAACAGTTCTTCTGAGCGAACTGAACGTCGTCGTTCAGCTGCTACACTAACATAGTCACACAGCGACTACACGGTATCGAACTAATGCAAATATTTTTCAAAGAAACTTCTTAGTTGCTTTTAAAAAAATCACTCAAAATGATGTCGTTTCGGATAGAAAGAAAAGCTCTTATTTGATGACATTGTGATTTGGCTTAAGAGTTTTGCAATGACACCAACAAACATTTCATATATTCACAATAACTTTCATAATATTAAATTTCATTTATTTGTGAATTCAAGTAAATAAAAGGCTTAAATAGGTTAGATAATGTTTTCGGCATCTTCATAGTTCTGTGATCATCCTCAAAAAGTCCTTTAACCTTATCCACTGGATAAGGTTAAAGGACTCCTAGATATACTGTATGAATAGGCATTGACAGGTCGTGATTGTCCCTATGAATAGACCTTGAGAAGTTTTAACTACGTCCGATGGATAGATCTTGATATATTAGACCAAATTACTGATCTTCCAAAGTCGACGTTCAGCTCGCTCAAAAGAACTGTTCGACCAGTTCAGCTCATTCAAAACGAACAGTTCGAAAAGTTCAGTGCACTCGAAAAGAACTTTTGAACAGTTCTTTCGCTCATTTGAGCGGATTTCGTGAACGTGAGCTGGTGAACCCCTAATTACACTTCATCAACGGGGCAAACTGTGGTTTACTCGAAGTTTGCAATGTCTTTACGGGAGGCGTAATAGACTATATAGAACATATAAACACACCTAGAGCACCAAATATTATGTTCTTCATCGTTCAGTATCTGAAATATTTTTTACTCAGTGTATGTTTGAAGTACGTTGTCTGCCCACTAGCCGACTGATGTGAGTGACGCTGCTCTGAATCTCCGTGTTCGACTCTGATACAATAATTAGTGGTATTAGCACTTCCAAGGCTTATAGTTCTGGTATCACACATAGAATGCTGCGTTAGGCGAAATTTTTTGGAGCATGTATCCAAATGATTTTGAAGGATGTGTAGGCTCATATAGACTGTACACCATTGTAATCCCAATGGAGGTTAGAGTTTACAAAAAGCAATTGCGATTATATTTGGCCAATTCTTAGCTAAAAGTTTGACATTGAGCAATTAGGCACGCGGACTCGATCAAGCATTAAACACATAGCAGCGTCCAAATTATGATTACAAGGTTCAACAACTACAATTACGACAAAATTTAATCGAAGATGCATAAAAAGATTCTCAACCTGTGAAAGAATTATATTTTCATATGCAACGTCGCATTCAGCCAAGTCCATCCGTCGTCCAACAACAACATTCATTATCACCATCATTACATTACTTTCAATGGAAGGACTTGAACCGATATGGACGAGTGTCAACGATCAATTTGTCCAACAACATCAAAAGTTCATCCAACAGGAATATCTCGGTTAACATCCAAAATTATTCATAATAACAGATAAAAAAAACATTAAGATTTTATACGAAATAATCAATGTCGACCAAAATGGTTTAATTATCAGCTTGTTCATCGTATTCACCCCGATTATACTAGAATACAAGAAATTAAACAAATGTTGAAACAATTAGATATTCCCACTAGCCGAGTCAAAATTCGTAACAATAAATTACAGGCTGGTTTCAAGAACATAACTTTACAAACAATTTACCAACAAATACTTAGTGACAGTTTCTTCAAACGTCTTTGAAGAACATTTTCTAGTGACGAACCCTTGGAATGGATGTAGCCATCCTTTGGGACGATTAGGGTGCTATGATCCGCTCGTTTACTCGCTGAATCATTGTGATTTTTTCCTTTTGTATTCGTTGTTTTTTGTGTTCACTATTTTTTCGTTTTACTTTTCCTTAGTCATGCTGTCGTACAGTTTATTCATCTCTTTTTTATCTCTTTCATCCATGGACGTGTTTATACATATATATGCTTTACCTCTTTCTAGTTGTGATAATATATATATATATGTGTACACATGCTCTATTAGTACTTTTTCACTTCAAAAAAATATATAAAAGTACATTCAGTTACTAAGTACATTCTTTCGGTGCATAGCTTAACCTACAGGATAGTAAGTTTGCTTTACCAATCCTTGCCAATCCTCTCTCCTGACTTATTGCTGAGAGGAGTCAGATCGGGCAGGTTTGTACCGGGATCGAACCAGATTCTGGGATTGAAAAAAAACAAAAAATTGAGTGAAAGGCATCGACCAAGAGGGATTGAGGAATAACACCAGAGCCTTATGGTGCAATTAGATACTCGAAATATTGAAGAATGGGGCTACCACGTCACACATGTAATGAGATCATCATTTCCTAGATAAAATATTTTCGAGAAAATATAACTAGGTCAAGGGCCCGACCAAACTTATTGAACCATGAGTGCTTTTTAATGGTTTGATTCGAAAATCAGAGGAAGCTTAAGCAAGCTGAAAGGACTGGCTTCGTCATCTATAGAGGTATAAGAGTATTCTACGAATATGTTTTTGATGATAGTTATAGCACTGATTTCTAGCTCACACTATTAGAGGCTGTGTCCGTGCTGATCTCTATCTTCGAACTGTTAATCCGATTTGGGTTTCTTAACCGAAGAAAGAATGTTTAGGATTAACTTTATCGTAGTGAGTGTGCGATGCAACAAACGTGTTAAATCTTAGGGAAAATGGTTGTAGTAGCAAGAATTAGTTAACAGGGCTGTCAAGTGCGAAAATCAAAGCCGATGATGAGGGGACAGCTGATGTTGTGTACCCCTACTAAATATTTACTCGTCTAGAAGATGGAAAGAAACACGGACATACAGTGTAAATGAAAAGCTTCATATTCTATCCCTTAAACTTGGCCATATCGTCTTTAAATTTGAAAAACGTCGATACAACACCAACAATCATGATCAAAAACATCAGACCAATTGTGCTGTACAGAATTGACACTAACGTTGTTGCGAGTACTTTTAATCTTGCTGTTCGTCTCGCTCGCCGTTTATTTGCTTCCAATACTTGAATGATTTCATTCAAAAACTTCCAGTACATTGTTCCAAACGATATTTTCTTTTGACTAAAATAATAGAGTAAACTCTGTAAACTCAATGCCTCATCGTTCATTTGATCGCATATCACTGCATCGTTCGGTTTTACATGACTCGTGTCGTAGATTCGAAACTTATGGTCACTAACGGCAAGCGGGAAACGCTTAATCTCACTTGTAATTATTTCATTCGACCGTTCAAGTATTTTGATTTCGTCCTGTGCTCGCTTCAGTGCTTGTTTCATTTGTACAGCGAGATGGAAAGTAGATATCTTTTTTGCTGACTCAATGTCTAAATTGTAAGGTTGTGATATTAATCGAGTAGCTGGTAGTATTTGTTGAACCTGAGACCATCTTGATGGTCTAACTGTTTCTTTATTTATTGATATTTGTGAACCAAGAACGGATTCGTCGTCATCATCTTCAGAGAGCGTCGTTAGTTCGGTGGGCAATGTGGAAGTCTTTTTCATAGATGATGCTGGCAAACTAAGGTATCGCTTTTCACGTGTTTGTGGTGGACTGCGATTAGGAGATGTAGACATCGCAGTTTAGTAGCTCTAGAAATGTCACAAGAAGTCTTGCAGTAAAGCTAAACTATTCACAAATCACTCAGTCATGCTGTGGAACTAGTTTACAGAGAACATGGCTAAGACTAGCGCAGAAAACAGTAGCTTATCAACAAAGTTTCGCACAGGAAGTGATCGTTGTAGTCTAAGTACTTTCATCTGCAACTATCTATATATTCTGTGACTCTAAACAGAGTCAGTTTCCGGTAAAATTTGAGCAAACAACGATCTAGTGGCGATGTATAATAACGGCAGGACACCATCAGATACTGTTGTGTGATAAACTAACAATTCAATGAATACAATGAGTAGGTATTAATAGGTAAGTATGAGCAGCGTGTTAGGTGATGACAATGAAAACAAAACCTTTTCTATTTCTTTTCGTCGTATGATGATGAATCAAGCGAACGTGTATTAACCGTAGTCGATCAACCGTATCGCAAACGTTATATTCCCTATAAAGAAAGAAGGCTGAGCCTGCGAGAGAACCTTTTGTTTCAATTAGCAGGTAAAAATCCTACAGGCAGACTTGTGCAGGTATGTAGGAAACATTTTGGTAGACCCTAGAAGACCAGAGCAGCTCTCTGTCGTATACCACTGCGGCGTTCAGGGGCAGACTCCGGCAGCCGATCTTGTCTTATCGGGTTATTATTGACTGAACGGTGAAAGTTGGCAAAATAATTAGCAATAATGTCTTTGCATAGTAATGAGCATTTTATTTCTGTTCGTGCATCTGTTAAAAAGATCTCTGTAACAATCAAGAGAAAGGAGAAGGTGGATGTCGAGTTCCGTCAGATTAGTCCATGATCTCTGTCAAGTTCACTTCTGAGTTATATTTCTTGCATCGCGAAGTGCTGTTAGTGGAATTGAGTATATGACCGGAGTCAACAAACCCCCACTCTGACTGAACGTTACGAAACAACGTAAGATCTTCTTCCTGCTAACTTTGTCTCCAATTGGCATTCTAACATATCATTGTTGTTAGCAAAAAAGAATCTTCGAAAATGTGAAGCTGCTTCCTAATGATAGATGAATGACGCGTAGAAGTTGAAGATATGCAATTATTAGTGAATAGTCGTCCTGTATCACTGATGCCAGGTGCCATCTTGTCATTGTAAAACTCTAAAATTTTTTTGAACCTGAGGATGCTCTTTTCGAACATGTTACTTTCGTACGTCGTATTTAGACACAACATGTAGAAATGTTGAGAATATAAATGCTTGTCATATTTTTCTGTTTTTTGTCGACCACTTTTATTTAAGCAAACTTAATAGAATTCGTTGGACTAGAAATGGGAACAAGGCAAAATCGCGACTATCACGAAAACCATGACGGGGCTCCAGAATAGCGTAAGTATCATTGTCAGGTGATCGTGCAGTCGATCTAAAACTATCTCTACGCCCTTGCACAACTGTATCAACAGCATTAGGGTTAATGTGGCATTCAAAATAAGCGTTTGTTGCTCACAGGTATGTTCAGAGACTAGCTGATATATTGAAAAGCATGTCTGATACGAATGTGACAGTATATCATAGATGTAACAGTGTTGTGTCTATCAACTCACAAAAAAAATACTCAGTAATGCTCCGACCAGACCTTGTCTATCGGACTACCATTCTTACTGTCACGACGTGAGTTTTAGTGAGTCGCCGCGCAACATGAAGTGACTCTCAGGAGCCGCCGCAAGAGTCCCTACAGTCGCGACGTGACTCTTTATGTCGTACCACGACCTGAGGCACGCTTACTACCTGATTAGTGATACTTACGCTATTCTGGAGCCCCGTCATGGTTTTCGTGATAGTCGCGATTTTGCCTTGTTCCCATTTCTAGCGACATTTTTTTCTCATGGCCATACCTGAAGAAACTCATGCCTAATCGATTTCGAGCTTTGCAGAAGGGTTTCAGCTCGTCGTGGTTTGCTCCACCATGTTTTACTCGGACTTTTCTTCAAGAACATGATGAAATCAATTTTTAAGGTTTTTCTCAATTAGACGACGCTTTCTTTCATCACGCCATAATCCCTCTGTCTGAAAGGAAAAGTCAATATTAACAGAGCCAGAGAAAGTACACAGCAATTTCGGCGTGTTGTTCTTCTACTGTACATAAATACCTGCTAGTGAGTGAGTCATAACGCTGAACTATGTGATTTTCGATAAACTGTGGAGTTTTCTTTCCAGAAACATTCAATGCTCTGGTAAACTAAGCCCCACTTTGCTGTTTTTCAATTCTGATTCGACATATGACCGGAATTTGAACTCAAAAAAGTGACAAAGGCTAATGTCTTTTGGTCCATTCACTTGCGAGTTTTGCCAATAAGGTTACGTTTGGCGTATGCGAAGCATCGAGCATTTATGCTTGAACTTTCAGAGAGTGTATTCCCGTGGATATTATCGCTAGAACTATTCTAGCATCCTGTGAATGAGGTGAAATGGCTGAGCCCCAGTCTTCTGTGCATCGAACAGAATCGAGCTGATCTTCGCTACAGTTTGAAAGTCACCAATGGTAAATCGAACTTAAACCGAGAATACTTACATCTGTGAAGACATCAGTCTTTGAGGCACCCAGGCACAAAAAAATCGCTAGAAACGGCACAAAACCGCGTTACGAACTCCCGCTTTCTAACCCGTTTTCTGTGGGATACAACGCGTATAAACACGTTTGTCTCATTTTTCGTTCTCACACGGTTTTATTCCGTTTTTGACGGAAAAATGCAACTAATCATTTACCGTCTTGCTTCGAATAAAATTTTCTTTTCTCACGGATATTAGCATTTCGATTGCAGGGCAAAGAAGATTGAGTGACTCGAACTGATCACAGAGTGGATTTGAGTATAAGCACAATCGAAATATCGAAGAAATATCATCTTTTCACCCTTTTTCAGTCTTAGATTAGTAGTTTCGTACTTCACTTATTATAAACTTTCAACTATTGTTAGATCAAGTCCCACTGGGTAGCCAAGTCTCACCTTTGGTTTATGGAACGATCCAGGAGTTGCAGACTCTATTCCGAAACGCGTTTTTATTCTGTTTTTAACGATCAAAAAACGCGTCAGATGTTTCATCTGAAACGCGTTCTAGAACGTTGGAAAACGCGTTTTTGTACGTTTTAAACGCAAAAGAAACGCGTTCTAGGGTGTTGAAAAAGCTGTTTTAACGCGTTTTTCTTCGTTTCAAATGAAACATTTAACTCGTTTTAGGGCCAATTTCTTTGTTTAATAACTCAATAACAGTATACGGCAGAACGCCGCGGTCTTCAACAATCGAAAACTGACAACTGAGGCTAGCTTTCCACAAGCAAAAATGATGTTTTTAAAATATTTTGAAACGGGGGTCTTGAGCAGATCTTTGGGAAACCAGTCTGGATCTCTGAAAACTGACATAGAAATAGATCGTTCTTTTTTCAAAGATAGATAGAAAAATCTTTTTTGCAAGTTACTTATACGCATAATGACATGACTAATTCAAAAATATCTCTGCTCAGGTCTTTTTCGTTACCGAGATAGGAAGCATCATCTGTAAAATAACTACTTTTCCTGCTGGCTATTTATAATTATGAATAAAATAACCATAAGTAGCTCGAATACAGTATAGAGACATGTTGCTAGGTGTGAGCCTGGTTTTCACTGGTAGAAATCGTGAAAAGTCGGAAGTCCGACATAGTTAAAAATGGAAAAAATCCAAAATTTGCGCGCTCTCTCCACCCATGGAAGACGTTTTTATAAAATTACAGCTGCTAGAGAATTTAGGTATAAAGTTACAGCTGCCTAAGTAATGAATTTCACCAAAAAATCTTGCCTTCGGAGCAATAAATAAGAGTCGGTTTTTAGGAAATAATGTCTCTTATCTCGTTAACGGAAGAGACCTGAGCAGAGATATTTTTGAATTAGTCATGTCATTATGCTTATAAGTAACTTGCAAAAAAGATTTTTCTTTAACTCGTGTGCAACTCCAGCCAAAGCTATTTCGACACGATCTGCAAACTCTAAATTTTTCGTAATGAAAAATAGTTTGAACAATCAAAAAAATAGCCCAGTAAACAGAATATGGTTTAGTATGTACTATTAACTACTGTAAGTGACAAGGTGTTTCTTTAATGCACGTTTAAAAGCTCGAGCCCTAAAGGCAGCAATCACTTCGCTTGGTAATTGATTCCATTCTTTTATAGTTTTTGGTAAAAAAGAAGATCTAGTAGTCTTACGTTTTAACAAGGAAACCTGCTAAAGGCATCGATTAGAAGTTCGAAAAGAAGTTCTAGTGGTAAGAGACTGTACTAATGAAAAGCACGAAAGTGCACTACGCCCTGTAATAATTTTATGAAAGAAAGTTAACCTGAAAAATTTTCTTCTTTGAGCAAGATCTAGTAGTTCTAAGGTCGTGAACAAAGAGGAACTGTCGGATCTATAGTTATTTGATGTCATAGGGGCAGCGAGTTTATGAGTTGGTGTTAGTAAATCGAGATACGTTTTGAAATCATTATCAAAGTTAAAATCCGTTTTTGAAAGCATTCTTTATATTCAGACTTTAACGGTAGATCACATTTTATTAAAGGATGATGCAATTATCGAACTAGACTTTGATAATACACATCACTTGTTTCATAGCGTGCTAAAATACATTGAAGCGACTCGTCGCTTCCACTAGTACTGCATCTGGTAGCTTGTTTGGTTGCTTTTAGATCACTATTAACACCAACTGACTCTATTTGACAAACGGAAACACTCTCCTCTATTATTCAAGAATTCTTGTTTTTCTACTTTTTACTTTTTTTTGTTTTCTCTTACCTTTGCATTTCTGTTTTATTTTATTTTACCTTTTGACAGTATGTAATGGTAGAAAGTCCGATTTGCTGTATTTTTTTATTAAAAATTCAACTATTTAAAAAAAAATCTAATTATCAAATACTACACAACAGTAATCCATTACTGGCAAAATACAGGTTTTATAAATATACGGTCGAATAAAAATGGGAGCAGATTCAAATATTCGATTAATAACGCCTAACATTTGCCTGCACCTCCTAGCTGTATTTTCAAGATGAAATTTTCACATGAGATCCATAGGCAGTGGAGCGATTCTAATCTAGGGGAAGCTCAAAAACTTTTTTCAAATATTGATGGAAGGAAATCAAATATCTAAGCCACCCCAAGCGTTTCTCTTCCTTTTTTAGGGGAGACTTGAGCCTCCCCAAGCCTAAGGGCTCCGCCGCCTATGGTGAGATCAACTTCTAGCAATTTTATATTTTTTTCGACCATTATTTGCTTCCCACTTAATAAAACAGGCGGGAACTACTCCGGTGATTTTTGATTAGAAAACAGCATATAGCAGCATTTATCGATATTTAAATCTACCTCGTTTTCTACACACCACTTCAATATAATATCAAGGAGATTCTGTATCTCTGATAAATCAGAAAATTTTTGGAACGAAACTAATCCGAAGACGTCGTCCGTAAACAAGGAAGCAATTATCCCAATAAGAAACTCTAAAACAAGGTCGTTAGGGGTGGGGGGGGGGGGGGGGGGGGGGGGGGGGGGGGGGGGGGGGGGGGGGGGGGGGGGGGGGGGGGGGGGGGGGGGGGGGGGGGGGGGGGGGGGGGGGGGGGGGGGGGGGGGGG